TTATGCAGCTACCTATCCCAGGACTTGACAATTAACCCAAAATTTTCTTTTCAGGATTCCCCTAAAGATGCCTTCAACCCCCACCCAGACATCAGGAAATAAATTTAAGAATAGCATGCCCACATTCCCAAGAGGTGGAGTGAGTGGTTCTTTGGTTGTTCAGTGAGTTATGGATGTTTGTCATTGATTTGGTGGTTGATTACAAGTTGGTATTGGTAATAGTCAGGAAAAATCTAAAAAGGAGATTAGATTCAGGGTTCCTGTTTTGGAAAGAAAAAAAGAAGAGCTATATCGTGTGTGTGTGTGTGTGTGTGTGTGTGTGTGTGTGTGTGTGTGTGTGATAAGATAAAAAGGTAGATTGTTGCATCTACTTTTAAAAAGCAATTGCTAGTTTTACTATTTTACATTGATATGGATCTTTGTATATTGATGCAAAGTTGAGATTATTTTTGTTAGAACATACTGTACATACACTTCTAATCTTGTTCTAGGTATTGTACCTATACAGTTCATTTAACAATATAATGCAAATTCCTAGTCCTTGAAAGTTATTACCAACTATTTAGGATAATAAAGAAAGGCAGGTTAGTAGTTAGTCACCTATCACAATCAAACTTGTAGTCATATTAGGTATGTTTTCAAGGTCGAAAGAAATATATTTTAGATAGATAAATCATCTTCAAATACTTCAGAGATCTACAGAATATGGCATTTAAGATGTTTTAATAACATAGGTTCTTTTTTTATGACAATAAGACATGTCTACTCCTGGCAGCTCTAATTTCCTTCAGAGGAAATAAAGGATGATGGGCATAAAAGAAACTCCATATGGAGTTTACTTTCTTTGTGGTAAAAGTTAGCCACAAGGGCAAGAAAATGTCCTTGCCTTGACTGTTGATGGTATGCTGTCCAAATGGACAAGCAAGACACAAAAGAAAGGGCTGCTGAACTTTGCCAAGACAAGGTAGGAAGGCCCTTTAGGAAATCCTGCTTCACGGATAAGTCTGTCAGATATGCTAGGCCTGTAGGTTGAAGATGAATGCTCCAACATTGTGGAGGAACCTTGGGTGACTGTCCAGGCAGCCAACTGTTTCTGTCATTTCTCACATCTTTTGGAAGTTGCTTGCTTGCACTTCCTGCTTACTTATGTAATATTATTTCCTTCTTGGGTCACTGATAGAGTAGAAGACTAGATAGTTATAGTTTTCCTTGTTAACAAATTCAGAAAAGAAACTCACTAAAGATGTGTAAAGTGTATAAGTTTGAAAAACATCAAAAGATAGTTTTTCGCTGGTAATACAAGTTAGGATAGAAAGTGAATTAGGTACAACACTTTGGACTCACCAAAATAGGATAATAATGGAGCATTTTCTCTGAATTTGTCAAATGTTAATGGACTAGACATTATTGATGTAATTATTGCCTGTATATATTATATATACTTATTGTATTTATTATACATAGTTTTATTTTAATATTAGTTATAACCTTTTATTATTTTGGACAAAAAAAAGGAATGTGGTGATAATTGATTGTACTCTAACAAATAAAATTTGCCTGAAGATCAGAGGACAGAGCTAGCTACTAGATTTAACATAGAGGCCAGGCAGTGGTGGCATACACCTTTAATCCTAGCACTCTGGAGGCAGCGGCCTGTCTGCATCTATGTGAGTTCAAGGCCAACCTAGACTATATGAGATTAATCCAGTCTATAAGAGAAACAGAGCCAGTTGGTGATGGCTCACACATTTAATCCCAGTATTTGGGA